TGTATGAATATTGTTTTGTAAAATAACACTTCAATGTTTTTGTTTTCATATTTTAATCTCAGGACATAGAATTATATATACATGTAATTGCCTTGGATACCAAGAAAGAAGGAAAAATACCAGTCTCACAGACAATTCATTTGTTTTTCCCACCTTATATTTGTCTTGAAGACTACATTACAGCCTTTAGGTTTTAAAAGAACTTCTTGAACAACTGGTGACAAGTTCTCCTTTGGTGCTTTTCTGGCCTTTCAATATATTTACTGAGACTGTCAACTTATTTTTATAATAAGAGTTGTCATGAATTGAAAAAAGTAAAATTTCTTTCATGATGTCTGTTATTCTAGATATAAATATGCTGTGATTTAATTATGCACATAGTAAAATACTAAGTTACATACCAATGTTGTTTGGTCACACTGATATGTCATCTAGCTTTCACCCTACAATATAGTAGAATATAACAACAACCTACCAATCTAGTCATTCTAATGAATTCAATTTATAGTCAATCCATTACAATGGTATTGGTGCATAAACTTGGGAGTACAGTTATTATGATTCATAATATTGTTAAGCTTTTTTGAACATGTTATATCTGGATAATGAAAATGGTGTGAACTTGGTATAGCTTTTCATAAAGTAGCATACATAAGATGAGCTAAGAAAATTTCATAAATGTGGGTTGAGAAAGTACCAGTAAATTGGATTGTATGATGGTTAGATTAGAGAAAGCAAAAAGCTGCTATTAACCCTTCCATTACAAGCTGGGTGGAATCCATGCAGTTCGTAACCAGGAAAGCATGTATGAGAGTAATTGTACTATAATTTTTGAAAGGGTATGCAAGTCCTTACAAAATTTTACTGTTTATTAGTAAACATTACAAGAATTTCATACAAAAAATATCTGGTTTTTTGAATTATGTTTTAAAATTGTTTTATTAAAGATTTGCACGTGAATTTTTTTCTTTCAGAATGTTGACTATCCAACATGCAAAGTAATTTGGATTTTAAACACTTTTCTTTATCTGAAATTTGTCAAGTTTCATTGCGTATTCTCTGTATCCTTCTAGATAATCATCAAACGTTTTTTTAATAAAACTTTATATTTGACCGACCTCATAAGCATCACAAAAATTAGGAAATAAATCTATGTTACCTTTTTTGTTCTAGAATAACTGCAAATTGTAATAGGAAACCACAAATGTTTTATTTTGAATAGCTTAAATCTCTTAACAGTATAAATCTACTTATATTTACTAATTTTTGTTTTAGTGACCTTTGAACCATGTCTGACTAAAAATACCCCAAAAGAAGTTGAAAATTACATGGTGCACGTGCATCAACATGACCCCATCAAACAGCGTAATGCAGAAGATTCTGGCACATATATCCCATGAAGGTTTTTTTTATTATTTCTCTTTCATTATCTTACCTAACAACTTTCTATTTTTATTATTTTAATTACTTTTATAATAATAAACAGTTAAAACAAATAAAAAAACTGGTAAATAAATATCAAACATTTTTATTTTCAGTAAAGCTTTATATCTTATTTTTCATTTTTTATACTGTAACATTATACTTATTTCTCCAGTTTGTAGGTAAGTAAACAAAGTATAAAGAAAATAAGTTGCAAAATAAAATTTATAGTATTATTAGTAGTGATTACAAAATTTCAAAGTACTTATGGTCAGAGTTTATGCTCTCACTTTTTCAAACTTATTTCCTGTAGTTATTTTATTGCTAGAAGATGAGTTAGAAATTAGAAGAAATGAAATGAATAGTACTCTGTTCTTTTCAGTACAGACAGTAAAGTCCAAGTAAATCTTCTGAGAGTTTCTTCTAATCTTTTTACACCTATTTCCTATTGTTATTATACTGTTAGTGGCTGAAGTAGAAACCTGCCAAGTATAAAGCAATGAATCACCGTTCCTGTTTAGGTGTTACCATACTTTGACACCATCAATATCAAATAAGTTCATGCAGCTCAATTCCCAGAATCTTCCCTGCTTTGAAAACACAGTGGGGTAGGATATATCAACTTGTTAACAGTATAATGGTTGCAATGACAATTGTCTAAAGCAGTGATTCTGAACATGGGGTGCATGGCCCACAGGGGAATAATTTGAAAATGCTACAATAAGAAAAATTTTACATTATATTATTATAACTTTTCAACATCAAATACGTTTTTATATTAAGAGGGGTATCAACTTTTTTGAGGTGTTGAGGTGGGGCATGGAGCAAAAAACGTTAAGAACCACTGGTCTAAAGTATTATAAAATGTTGATGACTTTGTAAAAAGTCTGGGCCGATCCAATAAGTCAAAAAGCAGAAGTATCCCACAGAAGCTATTCAAATCGCTGCTCTGAGAACACAGTGGGATAGAATTTGCAGGCTTCGTTACAATACAGTGGTAGCAACAAGAATTGTCTAAAGTACTTTATTAAAGTGAGAGAAAACATTTATGATATGGCTCTGTAAAAAGTAAATTTGTATCCTATCCAATAAACTTGCTAGTTATCTAGTACATTTACACCTATACCAAGGCTAAATCCCAACCACTAAGGGTTAGTTTACATGTATGCAAAATTCTGTATTTTTGTTGTTAACTTTCTATTGCATCATTTTTCTTTAATTTTTGTATGCCTCAAATAGCAATAACAGTGACATCAGAGTTAAAAAAACTTAAAGGGGTGAGGGGGGTAAATATAACAAGTCATTAAAAGAAGTTTGAAATAGTCATGCATGACTGAATTCTTTTTTTTCACTTAAAGTCCTCTAAGTATACTTTATCTTTTCCCAACATCAATTTAAATAACAAGTAATAAAGCCATGTGTCTTTCCCCAAATACTGTGCTTTAGTATAAGCTAAAAGCCCTCTAGCATGTGATCCAAACAAAATAATATTTACTGAATATATTATTTACAGTTGCCATTAGGACAAGACAACTTGTACCTGATTAGCTGCTGAGCATTGATCACAAAAGGTCATCATGCTAACAAAACAAAAATTCATACTCCTATTGTTACCTAGGCCACTCTCATATATTTCTGTGAGCATTAACAATGTTGTATATCTCTCAATTTCACACACAGTTGCATTCCATTACGTTTAAACATTTTCTCAATTTATTTCTGCAATCAATCTAAAAATAGAACTTTTCAAAGGACTAGAAATTTTGCAACTCAAAAAAACTTTTATATTTGAAGATGATGTTCAGCTTGTAGGTTTTCTGTATGATAACACATACCCACACTTAAAACTTGATAACCAGGAACCCACTTTTTAGAATATAAAAGTTTGTAGATGGTTTGTACTGGGTAAGTAGAACATCGTACATTTATAATAGTTTTTCTATTACTCAGTCAAGCCAACTACAAAACTTTTAATTACTACCCACATGT